CAAATGCAGAGATTTTAGAATGCAGATTTAAACGTTTATCTTCTCAGGTGTCTGTAATTGAGTCGCACTTCATTCTTACTGCACTTTAATAAGCCCATTTTAATGACACGTACACTCTTCGTCAATTCCTTAATACTTTGTTCTTTAATTTAATGACCTGCTTCATTTCTTTAAGATGTTAATCTTCTGATCACTATTAATGCTTTGCAATGCGCAACACTATTACTATACATCCAATTTATATTCTTCTTCTTCGAGATATCAGCACCGTTCCAGCTCTGGAATGCTCGGTCTGATCGGGAATGCTCTGCTTGTGTTCAGCTTTTTGATTGGACCTACGGTTTTCAGACAATCACTGTCATATGGCGATTTTTTTTCCCATAGGAATGAATGGGGTACAAAAGTTTGTGCACCCAGCTCATGTGACATTGATACAAGTCCATTAGCATCACCCTATTAATCATGTGGGGAACCACAGCAACCACCCAACAACACCCTAGCAACCAACAAGGATGCCATAGCAACCATCTAGTAACGTCCTATATCAACCACCCAACAACACCCTAGCAACCAACAAGGATGCCATATCAACACCTTTGCAACTGCAAAAAAATACCTACTGTTTAGCAAGACCCTACACAGTGAAAAATCATGGTTCTTCAAGGGTTCTTTGGTAAAGCAAATAGTTCTATCTAGAACCATGAACACTCTAAGAACCCTTTCAATGATTAAAGGGTTCTTTGCATCATGAAATGGTTCTTCAGATTGATGGAGAATGTGCTGTAGATGGTTCCTCTATTGTAACAAAACCTGACATCATATATATATATATATACATATATATATGTGTGTGTGTGTGTGTGTGTGTGTGTGATTTTTCAGTTTTGTCATAATGTGAAAATGCCTGTGTCCCTTTACACTGTTTCTAAATTTCATGATGAATGGCCCAAAAGAAACGACCCCAAATGATTTGGAAAAAAGTCTGGTTCCATTGACTTACATTAAAAGTAGCGTATGTTACTTCTGTTAAGTTAGTTGTTGTTCCAACAGCATCAATATATTAAAAGAGATGCAGCTTTCGCACAAGTCATGGTGCTTTGTTCTCCAGCTGTTGTGGGCCACAGCTGCGCAGTACATAAGCAGAGTTTTCTCTAACAGCCTAACTCTCTCAGCTCTCAGCTCCCGTCTCACTCGGTCTAGCCCTGCCTTCACAATAAAACTCCTTAATCAGAACAACACCATGAGTAACTGCTGACGAACTAATAAGCTGAACTGTCAAAGTCATTTCTTGTACAATGTGTATATTTATCATTACTGTAATAGCAAAACCCTGTTTTTTATTTATTCATGTAATTTGAAAGTACCAGTTGCCATTTCTTCCAGCCATCCGTGGCCAGGAGTTCAAGTGGGCGCATTTCTCCTCTCTCTAGGGCGAGCCCCTCGCCTCCCCCATCACTCAGCACAATGCTGGCCGAAACAGAACTGGCGGTTAGTGTTCTCCTCCAAGCGTGTTCAGCTGTCCAACGATGATGAGTTAGTTTGAAAAGATATGGTGGAGCTTCACAGGACTCAGAGGAAGCCTGTGTTTGCTTTCGCCTCCTAGCGTTGGTGGTATCGTGTGACTGGGGGAGTCTTAACTAGTGGGGGTAATAGGAGACGACTGAATTGGGGAGAAAAAGAAATTGTCCAAATTCACTTTCGGATAAAATCAATGTACTTTAACTTACACTGAAATGTAGGAATGTTTCTTCCTTCTCTTGTAAAGCTGCTTTATTGGAGATACCGCAGTTTAGCCCCGCCCCTTTACACTGAAGTTATAAGAAGTGTTATAGCACAGACTGCTTTTTGAACCAGGCACACTACAGGACAGCCAATCAGGAGAGAGCTCATTTACACCTATCAGTCTTAAAGGCACAGTAATGAAAGCAGTCCGTTTCAGTGTGAGGGATGAAGAGTGGACCGAGCTGTGGCTCTAAGGGCCGGCGCTGGTCCGTTGCAGTAATGCTGTGTTAATTCCTGGTTGGGGTCAGTAGAGCAGCGGTGCTGGATCAGAGAGGCTGTGAGCTTATAGATTTACAGACTGAGCTTCACAAAACAAAGTTCCTTTTGTTCATGAACGCTGCAGATTTGAGTGGGTGAGTGAAGTCCAGTCTAAAAAACATGATTAAGATGTTAAATATTTGCACGTGATTTATCTACAGCTTTAACTGCTCCTCATTAAATCATACAACAGGCTCAATAAGAAAGAAAAATATGTGTACATATGTCTGCTCATACTAAAACATCTGCAATATATATGCAATACCTTCATAGATATATGGGCTTTGGATTTATATGTACCTATATGACAATATATTCACATGTATGTCAATGTCACAACATTGAATCATTAATTTTTTATATTTGCATATGTTATAAATACATGATGTTATTTTGAAACATTTTGAAACATTATTTTGAAATGTGCACTAAATCACACCATATGTGATGACTTATGAATTGTGTCAATTTCTAATATTTACATATATACACATAATTTAAATATATGCCACATACATATGCAATACACATACACATATTCATACACATACACATACGTATATGTATACATACACATTCATTCACATATACATACACACACATATGTATATATACATATATATATACACATGCACATATAAAGGACCAAATACCCATATATATACCCATATGTGTAATGTTTACATATATAAGCCAACATATCGTACATATTTCAATGTCACTATATTAGATCAAACATGTACAATACATAGATATATATACACATACACGTAATGCATATACATACACATACTTATGTACATATACATATATACACACTTACATACATATACCTACACATAATACATATACATACAATTTCATTCACATATACATGTATAATGCATACATTCATATACATATATACATACATACATACATACACATAATACATATGCATACAATTTCATTTAAATATACATATATACATACACATACACACACATATATACATACACATACACACACATATACACATATATACATACATATATATACATATACAGTCAGTATACGTATATTCATAGACACACAGTGACGGGGGGGTCAACCTGTTCCACGGCTCAGATCACACTGTTCTCCCCGTTTCTCATCGTGTTTGTTTTCTGGTTCTGCTGTTGAAATCAAACAGTGTTCTCAAGGTAGCGCTCGGTGGCATCAGACGGGCACGTGTTTACCCCCCCGAACACACAGTCGGCCGAGGAAAACAGGCTGTGGAGCAGGCCAGGCTGGGCCAGCCGCCCACGGCCCAAACATGTTCAGCCAAAAGAGACGGATTTCTGTAAAGGCTGGAGCTGCCAAACAGAAGGTCAGACGTGTGATCCAAACGGCTTTAGGAGAGGGAGAGAGAGAGAGAGAGACAGAGAGAGAGAGACAGACAGAGAGAGAGAGACAGAGAGAGAGGAGAGAGAGGGAGAGAGAGAGAGAAAGAGAGAGAGAGATAGATAGAGAGAGAGAGACAGAGAAAGAGAGAGAGAGTCAGGCTGAAACACAGCAAAGCTGATTAGCCCCTGATCCTCAGCACACGACCCACTTCAGCTACAAAACACAACCCTTTAACTCAGAGGGTCCGAACTTCACTTCCTCACTCTCAACTCACAGACCCTGCACAACTCTGTACATAGCAAACACTGAGTTACTCATAGTATATACTGAATATTCATAGTGGATACTGAATAATTCATAGTAGATACTGAATAATTCATAGTGGATACTGAATAATTCATAGTAGATACTGAATAATTCATAGTAGATACTGAATAATAATAACTGAGATATTGCAATGTGGTTTATATAAAAACTGCATAAATATAAATATCTAAATATAATAAATATTATGTATGAATATGCATCTAAACCAGTCAGGTGTGACAGAGAGTGTTTTAACTGGATTTTGCAGGGTAGGTATCCAGGTCCAGGGTTGGTGACCACAGCACTAGAGGCTCCACCAGCCTTTATCTGTTTGTTAAGCTGTAACGCTGCCACCTAGTGGCTATTGGTGATCAGTCACAGGTCAGAAACCACAGGTCCTTGTTTAAAAGGCCCTGATCTGTCTATATACACTCAGTGGACGCTGATCGAGCCCCTGAGGACCCCCGTAATTATTTCTCCTCCTTTCATCTTAAAGGGCAATTGTACTGTTTCTTCATCCTAATCTCTGTCTGCTACATCTGTAACATACACTCTTCAAAAAGATGGTTCTTTAAGGGTTCTTTAGTAAAGACAACGGTTCTAGCACCAAAAGGGGTTCTTATTACGAAAGGGGTTATTATTACAAGCTTGACATCATAACAATAGCAGAACCTTTTAGTGCTGTACAGAACCATTGTCAAAAAGGTTATATGTAGAACCATATAAAACAGTGAGTATATACAATGCTGAGCTCTATATAGAACCACTTTCTTTACTAAAGAACCCTTGAAGAACCATCAAGTTTATAGCATTGATTTTTCTTGTATGTGTAAAAGAAATATTCTTTACATTTCTTGAAATTACCATTTTACAGCCTTCATCCTTTAGAAATAAACAAACTTTGTTACTGTGCCTTTAAAAGTGATATATGTAAATGAGCTCTGCTCTGATTGGCTGCCCTGTATCGTGCCTCATTCAACAAGCAGTCCAGGCTGAAACACCCCTTATAACTTCAGTGTGAGTGGGCGGGGCTAAACTGCTGTAGGCTGAACTTCGGGATAAATGACTTTGTGACATCACAAAATGCCAAAACCGGGCTGTTTTTGCAGTTTAGTTCCCGCGTGTGGATTCTGGGGAGTGAACGGCCTTTTTAAAAACTTCAATAACGTTTACAAACTACATCAAACTCTGATTTCAGGGAAGAAAACGTGGTTTTCTGTGGTTTGGGCCCTTTAAGGTTACACAGTTCACTGGAAAATCTGTGTGAAATAAATATGTTACGCATCAAATATGTTTTATCAGTTTATTTCTTCCATATAACAAAAGACATTGTTCAGAAACCAAACGAGCTCAGCGACTCCGCACAGCAGAAACCGCTCGAGCCCTCCGATCAACACCGAAGATCGCTCGGAATAACACAAATCTGCATTTTACCACGTCAAGTGATAACAGTACAGTGATATATAATAACAATATGAACAATATTAACAGTAACAGAAGAGTGTAGGATGCAGTACATGCACCAAGTAAAAAATACCACTATACATTCAGTACACGTGTTTAAAGCAACGCCAGCGTCAGTACACAGAGGAGGCCATCAGAGGGCGCCATCTGATGGCTATTCAGAATATTTGGCATTAATGCATAAAAGACCCTTTCAATCGGCTTTAACCACCGAAACAGCCCACACAGCTGCTCTTACAGAGCTTTTCCAATGCACAGCACCAGAGTTTGGGGGTCTTCGGTCTGTTAAAGGTCCACTTCCATTATCAGCTGTTGAATCTATTCTTTCAGTTCAGTATGTAGGGGTGGGTGATATGACAATATGTATCGTTATTGTGATAAATTACACCACGATACTCTTTTCTGAGTGTGTGAGAACACTGAACAAGTAAATGGGACATGAAAAGACAGATAAAGAACAATAACAGAGCCTGTAAACAACAACAGCCAGCGTGCAGTGACTGCATAAACCACACTGTGCATATATATATATACATAAACATATACATATACATATATAGGTTATAATATATAATAGAGGCACTACATTTGAGTGAAAAGAGATTCAGCCCTAGTTTATCCTGTAATAGTGTCACTTGTTGACCTCAGAAAAGATAAATATCGCGATACATATTGTATATCGTGGAAATGTGATCAAGTATTGAGTATTGTGATGTTCTTTTTCTGCCATATCACCCATCTCTGGTTCAGAATGAGTGAAACAGCGTCCCGTATAGCTGCGTCTGTCCTTCTCTGCACAGACTCCACGTCCAAGCAGTATCATCAGGAACCAAGCAGACTCACCGGGAAAAATCCTTCATACAGGGGGCGGGGCTTTAAGGCTGTCAGTCAAAGTGTGCTTATTGTTTACAGTCAGAACCAGAACCAGTGGAAAAGTGAAAAACAACAGTTTTTTTTTGTTTTTTTTGCTGACGAGTCGAGACCACACCCCATCCGACCGCACTGAGAGAAGCCCTCCTTTAGGAAGACACGGATTCTTTCGTGGAGACCAAACAAAACACATTCTCAGTTCATAGAAAGGGACGAAATCGGCAAGATGTCCCGTCAAGTTCATTGACGTCCTGCGTCTGAAGAGATAAACAAAAAAAAAAAGACAAGCAAATCTGTCGGAGCTACAAGGCCACACGACGGGCTACGTCAGCCTTGAAGCTCCTAAAGAAGACCCCCAGTCAAATAACAGGCCACATTTTAGGTTAGATTTCCCCCAAAGTGTTAAACTGAGCAAATAAACAGTAATAATGTGGAGGATATTTTACTCAGAAAATCAACAATGACCTGCAGTTTGACCAGGGGTGTGCAAACTTGTGCACATGACCGTAGCCCACCCGAGACTGGGCGGTAAGGCAGCTTTGGTAGGAAAGGCTTTTGTGCCTCAGGTTCAGTCCTGGTTCCTCTCCGTCTCTCAGCTGGTGGAGAGTTTAATCCCAGCAGCTGTGATTCTGTAGGTGCTCTGGGTGAAAGAGTCTGCAGTGTAAACAGGTGTAAACACAGTGGGGGGGTGGGGGGTTGTCAGTGATCGGGGAGCTGCTGCAGCAGCGGGTTCTGCTCCGTCTCGGGGGTCTGGACGCTGTCTGTGCGGACGATGCAGGTGGGCCGGTGCAGGTTGAGCATCAGGATGAGGTGCTGACGCTCCTGCTTCAGAGACTCGATCTGAGCCTTCAGCTCCCCGTTCACCAGCTCCAAACGCTCCGACTCCTGCACAGAGAGAGGGAGAGGGATCTTAGAGCGTGACCTTCAGTGATCAGGTTCACCTTTCAGACATGAAGCACCTTCTAGATAGAGTTACTTAACTGGTTAGCTGAGTTACTTAATTACTCAGCTCATTACTTAGTTACTAAGGTACTCGGTTACTTTGTTCCCTACTTAGTTACTAAGGTACTCGGTTACTTTGTTCACTACTTAGTTACTAAGGTACTCGGTTACTTTGTTCCCTACTTAGTTACTAAGGTACTCGGTTACTTTGTTCCCTACTTAGTTACTAAGGTACTCGGTTACTTTGTTCACTACTTAGTTACTAAGGTACTCGGTTACTTTGTTCCCTACTTAGTTACTAAGGTACTCGGTTACTTTGTTCCCTACTTAGTTACTAAGGTACTCGGTTACTTTGTTCACTACTTAGTTACATAGTAAGTTACATAATTAAGTTACTCTGACACTCAGTTACTCAGTAACAATTAGTAATTAAGATACTTAATTACTTAGCTCACTGCTTATTTACCTTGTTAGTTACATTATTAAGTCACTAAGATACTTAGTTACCTAGCTGATTACCTAATTATCTAGTTAGTTAGTTACATAAGTTACTAAGTTACATAGCTTTTTAACTAGTTACCTAGTTAGTTACACAGTTAGTAATTAAGATAGTTACTTAGCTCATCGCTCTTAGTTACCTTAGTAACTAAGTAAAATGACCTAAGTTTCTAATTAGTTACCTTGTTAGTTACTTGATTAGTTAAGATACTGAGTTATTTAATACTTAGTAGCTTAATTATCTACTTCAAGAGTTCTTTAGTTAACACAATGGTTCTATATAGAACCATGAACACTTACATAACCTTTTACATGCTTACATTGTTCTCTGCATGGTGAAATGGTTCTTCAGATTGATGGAGAATGTGTTGGTTCTATATAGCATCAAAAAGGGTTCTGCAACTGTGACGATGTCAAGTTTGTAACAATAGCAGAACCCTTTTTGGTGCTATATAGAACCATATACAACACATTCTCCATCAATCTGAAGAACCACGGTCTTTCCTAAAGAACGCTTGAAGGGCCGTCTTTTTTAAGAGTGCAGTAAGTTACAAAATTAAGTACCTAATTACTTAGTTTGCTAGTTAATTATATAACTCAGTTACTAAGATGGTTAATTACTCATTAGTTATTTATTTATTAACTGATTGATTAGTTAACATCTAATAAGCAGCTCATAAGTGATATGCTGACTAGTAACTAAGTGGTTACTAAGGTTTTTATTATACATTATTATTATTATTATTACTATTATTATTATTATTATACAAATCATATAACCATTAAGTAACATACAGTCAACATGTACGCATAATCTTTATTATTATATAATAACAAACTTATAATGCATTAGTTACTTCAATGCTTCCAATGAAACGTGTTTTAATGCCAGCAGGTTTAAAATCACGCCTGCATTTATTCAGACTCACTTTCTGCAGGAAGTCCGTTCTCTCCTTCTTCTTGTTTCGACAGCGCGCTGCTGCAACTTTGTTCTTCTCTCTCCTCCTCTTCCTCCTCTCATCTTCATCAGCCATCTGCGCAGAGAGAGCAGAGATCAGCACGAACTCAAACACCAACTAACACCCATTTAACACGCTCTATCCATCCATTTCAAACAGTTCACACCAACACTCTCCTTTTTCTGCTTGTTTCTGTAAACTATACTGATGTTTGGCCACTAGATGTCGCTGTTGGTCAGCTAAAGAGCACTGTGGGACACTAACACTGCTGTTTATTGTAATTGCTGCCAGCTGAGGGCGCTGCTGTGCTTCTGATCAAGGTTTTTGCAGCGCAGAAAGGCAGCATGTCCACTGGTACACAAAGCTGCAGTCAGCCTAACTGTCTGTTCCACCTTAAACGCTGCAGCAGTGATTTTCTGCGGCCTCCTATAAAAGAAGCCGACTCCAGTTTCTCAGCAGCAGGATTTGTTTGGAATAAATCCTTTCAAACACAAAGCAGCTCAAAGTGCTTTACAAGTGAAGAGTAAAATTAAAGGTACCACTTTAAATTAAGACCACCCTTATAAAGCGTTCGTGAATAGTTTTAAATTGTTTATTAATGGTTATTAATAAGACTTTAAAATCATTAATATGCATTTGCGACACTTAAATTAACCCTGTATTGCATGTATTATCACTTACACATGCTAAAAATATTTTATGTATTTTTGTTATTTAAAATTGCTTAAATAATGGAAATAAAAATATTTATTTTTTCTTAAAGTTGGGTATTTGGTAAACTGTTGCCATATGGCAACAATGTGCAATCGTAGTACAACACCATACAATCTAAAAATAAAGCACCGTAAAATCTCATTTTTCTTTAGATCAAACAAGACCAAACAAATCCAACGTATACTTAGTAGAAATATGAAATGTACGACCTAATATTTACAAATATTGGAAATTATTTGCCCTTTTCATTAATGTGTTTATGACCTAACTAATAAGCATTAACACACTATTTATAAATCATTCATAAACACTTATAAAGGTAAAGTGGTACCACAATAAGTAATACAGACAAACACGCTTGCGCCTCACCTCGCTCTGCAGGAGGCTGAAGGGCCGTTTGCTGGGGTGTATGAGCTCTATGGGCGTCGCCGACCCTCGCAGGCTGAACATCTCGGCTAGTTTGAGCTGCTCCGTCAGCGTGGAGGCCGGAAAGCCGGCCAGAGGAGCCAAACCTGGCAGAGAACCGGCCGGCACCACGGGGTCAGGCATCTGAGCGGGCATCATTACTGTCTGACTGTAAACAAAACACAGGAAAGCTTTTAGTGACGCGTTTTTCTCTGAACTACAACCTGAGTTCAGCACAGTCCAGAAGTTTGGAAGCAACACCAAACATTATTTTTCCCCCCCACAGAAAATTCTCTGCAGGAGAATTCCACAGAATATTCAAAATTCCTGCAGTTACAATGTAAACAAGTAATTCAGAGCAGTTCACTGTAGAGAAATACAGGCATTTTGTTTACTCTCCACAACCACCAGTGAACCTACACGAGTCTTCTGAGTTTATATGAATGTTGATGATGGAAAATAGTGGAAAATCTGAAATAATAAGTTTTCTTTGGGGACTATTTTGCCTCACAGCGCCCTGCATGTATCCCTCCACCATGAATGGAGTTTAAGTTCTCTAAACTATCATAAAACAGTGTCTCAGTCATCAGGCAGTGAATTCATAACCATTTCATGTAGGAACTTTCTGTGAGGGAGCTTTTAGAGGTGGACGTCTGGTTCCTGTCACCACCACTGTGAACAGTTCTGACTCGGTCAGTTTCTCTAGAACAGAGCGTTTCACACCAAACCACTCTGAACCACTCTGAGCGACTCTGTTTACATCTTAACTGCTTAATTACGCAGGAATGTTTGACATCCACCGTCCGCCTGCATGAAACATCTTAAGCATTTATCTTAATTTAAAAGCTAAAGGGGTATGTTAGTTTAAATTGACTTTCTGCAGGTTCTAGATCCTCAGCACAGCAGCCCAGCGTGTGGCTTTCGCTTGCTGGAGAGTGTAAAGGCCTCTTGCTGAGATTTCCAAAAACAGAGCAGCTCTACTGGAAGCCCAGTCTGCCTGTCTGACTCTAAAAAACAAAACAAAAACTCTTTGGTGTCTCCGGCTGGAAAGCCCCACCCACGCGCCCGTAAGCAGGCCGGACCGGGCTTCGGCGCTGTCTGCTGCGGCCGGCGCTGCGAGGTTACATAACGACTTCAGGCCTGAAATAGTTTCCTTTGTTAACTCTGCAATCATCACAAACTCAAAACACATGCGGGTAGCTTTACGCAGAACAGAGAGAGCGAGGGAATGAGGAACTGGCCTGAGGAACTCACACTGACCAAACCTGCTGCCCACGCAACCCTGTAACAACTAGGCCCAGACACACACCCAAACATCTACATTTACTGACCTTTCTTTATGGGAATTAGTCAGTGTGCTGCGAAATATCGAATTTGACCATTATTGCTGTTAAAAATGTTCCAGATTCAGAACGGAACACAGACAATAAAAACAATACCAACAGTCTGAACGCCTCCGGTCAACTAATGACAGCGTTCTACTGATTTTCTAAGTGAAACTGAGTTAATATGTTCTCTACTGGTAAACAATGTGCACTATTTCCAAGTTAGCTTAACGTGTTTGAAAATAAATAACATGTAAAGTGTGCCGTAACTTTTTCACAGGCCCCATTTTACGTTTTATTACATGCCAAATTCAGCAAATGCACAGTAACGTGCAGAGATGTGTTCCCTGTTATTTTCAACAAACCAGGGGTGCACAAACTTTAGCACATGACTAAAGGCTAGCTCTAAGATGAGCTAAACCTCGTCTGGGTTACTGTACTTCTAAACGTTCCTTCGTACTTCTGTTCTATTGATGCTACCAGGCAGGGCTGGGCGATATGGCAAAACATATCACAATCACAATACTTCAGGATATTTTCACGATACACGATATGCAGCACGATATTTAGTTTTTCTGAAATACTATAATAAAAATAATAATAATAATAATAATAATAACTTACACAAAAGATGGTTCTTTATTAAAGAAAATGGTTCTATATAGAACCATGAATACTCAAATAACCGTTTGCATGCCTAAATGGTTCTCTGCATGAAATGGTTCATCAGTTTGATGGAGAATGTGTTGTAACTGGTTCTATAAAGAACCTTTCTGAAAATTGTTCTATATAGCTCCAAAAAAGGCAAGCTTGTAACAATAGAAGGATCCTTTTTGGTGCTACATAGAACCATATACAAGACAATCTCCATCAATCTGAAGACCAATTTCACCATGCAGAGAACCGTTTAAGCAGCAAAGGGTTCTTTGAGTGTTCATGGTTCATTGTAGAACCACTGTCTTTACTAAAGAACCAATTCAGTGTTTTGCAGAACGCGCTAAAGCCAGTCAAACAGGCTGACTCTGCTCACTCTGTGCTGAAACATGGTGAGTCTGCGGCGGAGCGAGCGCTCATCAGCAGGCGGATGTGCCAACTCGCCCCCCCATGCCAGCCTGAAACACTGCACTGAGGTTTCATCATCGCAGAGGATCGGCCCGGAGAACGCGTTCCCTCCGCTCTCACACTCACCACGGGGTTCTGTTTACTTTATTTACACGCATTTATTTACAGTTTATTTTACATTTTATTAACCTCAAACAGCCGGAACTCATTTCTACATGATCGCTTTGTCCCTCACACTCTTCAAAAAGAGTAAGGGTTCTTTAACAAAGGCAGTGGTTCCATTTAGAACCATACGACTTTTGCATGCTTAAACGTTTTTTTGCATGACGAAACAGTTCTTCGGATTGACGGAGAACGTGTCTATATAGCACCAGAAAGGGTTCTTCTTTTGTTACAAGCTCAATATTGTAACTAACAATAACAGAACCATTTTTGGTCCTACATAGAACGGTTTTCAAAAAGGTTCTATGCAGGAACGTATACGACACATTCTTCATCAATCTGAAGAACCAACTCGACCATGCAAAGAACCATAAAATAGAACCATTCCCTTTACTCAAGAACCCTTGAAAAAACATCTTTTTTACAGCGTACAATTAAACGGGTTATTTTTGTTACTGCACCTTTAATATATGTATTATATATGTAAATGAGCTCTGTTCTGATTGGCTGTGCCTCATTTGAAAGCAGTCCGGGCTGAAACACTCCTTATAACCTCGGTGTGAGTGGGCGGAGCTAGACTGCCCAAACATGTTATGTAAATGTGTTACACTGTTATTTGACAATATTTAATTAATATATTATTAAATAAACATATAATTGCTATTTCAATCTGTATAAGTGTCTCTCTCTCTCTCTCTCCCTCTCTCTCTCTCTCTCACTGCTTACAGCATTTCTGCCACTCTGAGCCTGCTCAAACACTTAGGGCTGGGCAATATGACGATATACATCATTATTGTGATACATTATGTCGCGATACAATACAATATTCTCTTGTGATCATGTCGTGTTCATCATCAGTGCTTGTAGAAACTGACCAGCTGCATGTTTCATTATAAAGAGAGTAAAATTAGTCCAGTTTAACTGGATTTCGTGACAAATACTGAATAAAAATCACTGTTTTCACAGTTTTTGATAGTATTTTTTAAATGTAGGGTTTTTTTTCTCTGTTCCAGCTGATCAGGCGTCCGAAAAAATCAATAATGTGACATATCGTCCATTGTGAACATTCCCTGAAGTATCGCAATATTATACTTCTACCATATCGCCCAGCTCTACGCACAATACAGCCGTCTTTAGATATAAATTCCCTGCAGTAACTGAATTAGGATATTTTAACTGCTCACTGAATCGAGCTGCACATGCAGCTACACTGAACTGAATCATCTGGTTTCATTTGTCATGTGATGGAATTCTGCAGCATGTTTATCATAGACAGTCTAGATCAGGGCTGCAGAAAGCTGGCAGTTTGCTTTGGACCACTATACAACTTAAGTCCTTCTAAAACTGAATAATATGTTAAACAAAACATAGTGTGATGTAATAAAATACCTATTTAGGACAGAAACTTCGGCCACGCTGGTCTAGACCAAGTGGACAGTGTTGTTGCTGAAGGCCTACGGTCTGATTACACCCACCCACATATTAAAGTGAGCAGGTCAAACTAGTTTAATAGACCTGATGAATCGTTTTCATGTTGAAAGTTTAATTAGCCATTTTTAAGATTACAGCCCACGTTATCAAAAACGTCTTACGTTTGTCTGCCTGTAGAGTTAGACCAATCAGAGGCAACCCAACCTCCATGTGTTGTGACATCACAACCACAACTCATTGGCTTTCCGGCTCCCTACATTCAGGGGTCAAGCCTCAGGTCAGAAAAAGTGGATATTCTGGTCTTCTTGGTAAAAAAAGGCCTGAAAGTTTTTTAAATATTAGATATTTTCCACAAATCGTTCAGCCCTGGAAACAACTCTGGGAGCGACTCTCTAACCAGTAACCAAGTCTCTCTCTGGAACCGGAGGAGGAGCAGGAACATCCAACCAGAACTCCATCACCTTCAGTCCTCCGCCGGACACCTGGCAGTTTCAGTTGTGACCAACACCAGCCAGGAGAAGCGAAGGCCTCCTGAAACTAACGTCCAACAAGTCTGGACTGGATGAGCGAAGCCACGAATCCACACCTGCAACATCTCAGACCTGGAGGAGCTGAGCCTGCACCCCACCGCTAACACCCTCCAGCTCAGAGTTCACTCTAAAAAGTGCTCAAAAGACCTCCATTCAACTTTAAACCCCCCAAACACAACTGCAGTCATGAGTTAGTCTGGAGCCCCAGGCTAAAGTTCTGAGAAGTTCCGTGTTCTGCACTGTTATGCAACCAAAACATTCACACTGTGCAGCTGGAGAACCTCGTAAAGGCCGCTGCTCAGGTCAGCTCAGTTAATAAGACTGTAATTAATGATAATAACCTCATTTATAGCTGCACGTTAAACTCAGGCTTTTACAGATTAACAGAACTTTGCTGTTAAGTTTGTATTTCGGGCGAATTTTGAAAAACAAAAACAGAAAATAAACGAATGCAGTCAAAACAAAGGAGTAAACAAATGTAGTTAAGAAGAAAATAATAAATAAATACAGTCAAAATGAAAACAAACGAGCTCACCTGTCTTCTCCGGCGGGAGTGTCGCGAGCCCTCCGTCCCGTCGCTCGTGCAGCAGATGTGAGCTCCGTTGCATCAGCGCGCTTAAATACTCTCCGCGGCGGCACGCGGAACTGATGATGTCAGCACCCCTTGGGCGCGTTCCAATCCCAGCGAGGGCACTTCAGCCCCGAGCTCGAGCGCGGAGCACCAGAACGCTCCGAAAGATCCGAAAATGGAACGTCGCGTTCTGTTTAGAACCTCCAGAGTTCTAGAACCGGAACGCTCAGGCGCGCAGCGTTCCACAATTCAGCCAGGCTCGAGCGCTCTACCTAGAACCCTAGAGCGCGTATGGGGACGCGCGCGCACACCGAAAGCAAGGCCTCCCCCTCCCAACCGAGGCTCCGCCCCTAGCAACCAAACTCCACAGCGCCGTCAAACCACAACAACAACAACATCTACAGCAACGGCAACAGCAGAGGAGCTCGAGCTAAAGGAGTTTCTGCTCGCGCCTCCCACGCGGTCGGGAATCCCATCACAGAAAGCGCGAGAGTTTTCCTGAAACCAAAAGAATGTAAACATGACTTTAAAGAGGCTCAGAGTTCGCACTGTAAACAGACAGACGGAGGATTATTATCGCTAATGTTTCTGTTTGCTCCGCAGTCTGACCGTCTGCGGGGGACGATCAGAATCATATGTGTGTGTGTATATATATATATATATATATATATGAGAATATATATGTATAAAAAAATTTGAAAAAAAGACATTTTTTTACTTTTACCCTTTGAATTGTGTTAAAATTTCATGAAGAACGGACTAAGTTGTTCAAAATCAATTGAAAATAAATTGTGTTAATAATTGTGTTAATAACAATGTTAATAATTAAAAGTTTTTCTTCTTTTGTAAAGTTACCAATTTTGAGGTACAGCGAGGTTTTCTGACAGCAAACACACACACACACACACACACACACACACACACACATACACGTATATACACACACATATATACACACACACACACACACACACACACACACACACACACACACATACACATATATACACACACATATATACACACACACACACACACACATACACATATATACACACACATATATACACACACACACACACATATACACATATATATATATATATATATATATATATATACACACACATATACATACACACACACATATAAACACACACACACACACATATATATATATATATATATATATATATATATATATATATATATATACATACGTGTATATATATATATATATATATATATATATATATATATATATATATATATATATATATATAATTTTATTTATATAGCACTTTTCATGCCAAAGTGCAGCTCAAAGTGCTTTACAGCCAGGTGATAAAACATAGTTATAGAAAAGATCATTAGTACTTAATTAGAATCAGAAGAAAATGAAGATTAAATTACAAGATAAAAACCACGAGACGTTCAGTTTTAGTTAAATGCTAATTTAAAGAGAGACGTTTTTAGGTGTTTATTAAAAGTGAGCACTGAGCTTGACTGTCTAATAAAAGAATTGAGTTCCTCAGTTTAGAAGCACAATAACTGAAAGAGTCTCTCCATGTCTTCTGTATTGTACAGAGGGTGTCTGTAGAAGGCCACTATCTGCAGATCTTAGATTGCGTGCCGGAACATAAACAGACAGACACTCTGTGATGTAAACAGGTGCTAGAGCTTTAAAGACTAGGAGCAGAACCTTGAAATCTATCCTGAAAGATAAAGGCAGCCAGTGCAGCTGTTTAAAAGCGGGACTGATCTGATCTCTCTGTTTTTGTTAGGATGCTGCTGTGTTTTGTACGAGTTGTAAGGGATGTGTAGTTTTCTTAGGAAGTCCAGCAAGAAGATCATTACAGTGATCAAGTCTGCTTGTAACAAATGCATGAACAAGTTTCTCTGCGTCGCTCTGAGATAGAAAAGGCCGAACTTTGGCGATATTTCTTAAATGATAAAAAGCTACTTTAGTGACCACGTTTACATGTGGGGTAAAACAGAGCTCAGAGTCTAAGATCACACCCAGGTTTCATACTTAAGGTTTGGTAGATGAAGCTAAAGAACCAAGTTTCTCATTTTTCTCTGAGTTTCTGTACCAACGATCAGTAATTCAGTTTTTTCATGATTTAATTGTAAAAAAATTTGCGATATCCACTGAAAAATATCTGACACACAGCTGGTTAGTTTGTCTACAGAGTCTTGATCTTCAGAAGGAATAGTAATGTATAACTGGGTGTCTCAGCATAGCTATGAAAATTTATACTATGTTTCCTAATAACATCACCTAGAGGTAGCATGTACAAAGAGAAAAGCAAAGGCCCTAAGACTGAACCTTGGGGGACCCCACAAAAAAACGGCAAATCGTTTTGATGAATGATTTCCAAGTGAAACCATGGACTGCCTATTACTTAAATATGATCTAAACCATTCTAAAACTGTGCCTGAGAGGCCGACCCAGTATTCAAGACGCTGGAGTAAAATCTTGTGGTATCAAAGGCTGCACTAAGATCTAATAAAACCAAAATAGAAGGATTTTGTGCTTCAGCGCTGAGCCTGAGGTCATTCATAAGGCGAATCAATGCTGTCTCCGTACTATGGTTAGAACGAAAACCTGACTGAAACTTCTCATATAAAATGTTTGATATTAGATACGTATTTAGTTGTTTAGACTTTACTTAGAAAAGGTAGGTTTGAAATATATATATATATATATATATATATATATATATATATATATATATATACATAAAATATATATATATATATATATATATATATGAAATATATATATATATATATATATATGTATGTGTATATATATATATATATATATATATATATATATATATATATACAGACCCATACAATACATGCACACATATATATACACACATTTCGCTGCTGTCAGAACAAAACCTCATAACAAAACAGTAACTTTACAGGAAAAGGAACAAACATACTTTACTGTTAATGTAAGTCAATGGAACCAGAATGTTTTCCAGGTCATTTTGAGTCGTTTCTTTTGGTCCATTCTTCATGAACTTTACACACATTGTAAAGAACAACAGGCATTTTCAAATTATGATAAAAACTCAAAATCACCAAAAATGGAGATACAAAGTTTTGCTCCAACAGCAGTGATGAATACATATTCACATACACATATATACAGACATATATAAAACCCTAAAACTGGACCCATCAGTACTGGACCAATGACCAGTGGAAGCAGCATGGTTCCAGTTTTCTGCTGCTGAAGGTTCCAGTGCTGTGAGGCCTTTCAATTAAGGTTCCGTTTAGATGAGGCAGAGGAGCCAGAACAATAACCACTGTTTATTCTTTAATTCACTGTAAGGGCATGCAGAGGTGGAGCTGCTGAGCGCTGGGCAGATCTTCTACCATATCAAAGTGAAGCGATCTCTACGTGACATTAATCATTCTCAGCCTGAGCGTTTCAGCTCTGAGGACTCCTCCTGTACACGTCTCCTGAATGCGGCCTCTGTTTGTAGAGGTCCGGCTTTGTTTACTTTCAGTTTAGCGTAACCTTCACCACACAGCGCCTTTATCCTGCACAAAAATGTATAACTGTTGTTCTCACGCACTCACACACGCACACACACAGACAACTTCCTCTTCTGCGCCTCCAAAATAACCTCAGCAGACGTTAATCACACTTTATTAGAGTCACTGACTTTCATGCAGCTTCTGGAAGTTTCCCTTCGTCTGGCCTTCGACGTTGATCCAGAAAAAGAGAAATAGCAGCTTAATAAATAACAGAAACGTCTTGAGGCCGACTGGAGAGCTTAGTTTATACGTGCATAACACTGTTTTAGAGATCTTACGTTCCTTTGAAGCTGCAGTGAAACACACTGTCATTACACAACAATGCATTCAGTCCCTGTCCGTTTCACAATGTGTTGTGTTTGCTTACACACTAAAATTAGAAATAACACACACTCAGTGAAACACCGACACTGAAGGAGTATTGCAATGTATGAAAATGGCCAAAAATGTTTTTGTTAAATATACGTTTAAAATGTGTTTATCTGCATGTGTTATTATCTGTGTTGAGTTGAGTGTAATGAAGGTTCCAGATGTAACTAAACGTTCTGACTTCTGTGATCTGCACTGTACTTTACATTAACCATGTACGTCTGCAGTCAGACTCTCACACACAATGTATTTCACAAAAACAAGATATCAGATCATAACTGCATTTTCACAGAGTATCAATACCCACAACACTCGCTTCTGTCCTGTTAAAGGATCATTTGATCAGATTTAAAATGAAGATACTGGAACACAAATTCATCTCAGTGAAGAGCATCAGACAGGATTCTGGATATTTTCATACATTTTCAGATGGATTTGATAAACACATTTACACACAGTTATTTTTGTCTGTGTGTAATATTTCCACATACATTTAAAAAATCTATTTGGTTAATATGGTAAAATATTCTGAAATACATTTTAGTGTTTGGAATGTATTTTAAATATATATAAAAAATGTATGTCCATGTATTTTTCCACACATAAATCTAACGTGATGTCACTTCTTTGCTATTTCAAAGCCTTTCAGAACACCACACCTGAGAACCGACTGATCAAATACGGCCGTCAGGCGTCCAGACACCCAGGTGATCAATTATAAACTCACCAATCAGGTGTAAGAGCTATAAAAACTGTTCTACTTAGAAAACGTTCTGAATTTCAGTGCGAAATGCAGCTGTTGGAAATGCATGGAAGCACTGACTGATGTTTCAGTCTCATCTCCGGAGAATGTTTGAGAAGCTTGACATTATAACAATACAAGAACCCATTTTGTTGCTACATAGAACCCTTTTCAAAATGGTTCCATATAGAACCATCTACAGCACATTCTCCATCAATCTGAAGAACCCTTCCACGATGCAAAGAACCGTTTAATCATGGATGCTTTGAGTGCTTATGGTTCAATATAGAACCATTTGCTTTACTGAAGAACCCTTTAAGCTAAATTACATCCAGAAAATCAACAT